ACTGAATTGATAACAGTTGTTCAGTTATTTTTAAAAGAACCGAACTGTTCAAACAGACCAGTTCTAGACATTTGATATAATCATTCAGCTAAAAATCACATGGTGCAATGTCTAATGAAAATGGTGGATGCGAAATTAAATGGATATCTTTTCGTGTTAAATAATTAAAACATCTGAATGAGTATGAAGTCGAGCATGGTCATGAGGTACTCTTATACTTTTTCTCCCTAATGGCTTTATTTTTTTCATATTTCATTGACAACAGACTTAAGACAATTTTCAATATAATAGTTGTGATCTAAAGTCTTGTCTTTACCTCCACTATGAATAAGAACGAGACCATCTGATTTTAAAAATTTTACTAAACTTCGAGCAAAATAAATAGAATTCTGTCGATATTTTTCCATTTTCTTTATCAAAACTACACATGTAGACAATAAGATTTTCATATTCGAAATTAGCATAAAAAGCTCAATCATTTGATGTACATTTCAGCTACTGCTTCAAATGAAAACTGGAAAAAAAAACTGATGTCAACAGAAACGACAAAAGTATGCATCAATCGACCTAGTTTTCTAGGCTCATTCAGAATATCATAATATTATTGAATGAAAGCGTCGTTTTGATAAAGAGAATCGAGAAAAACGGACGAAATTCTAGGTACTTTGCCTAAAATTTAGCAAAAATAATGTAATGAATTCAATGAAATAAAAAATTTGGTATCATCATTCACACAAGAAAGCCTCTAGATAGATTTACAAAAATGACCTGTAAACCTGTGAATGGAATCTATTTAGATCAACTGCATCGACAGAATTTTATGATCAGATTTGGTTTAATAGCCGTTTTGTAGTCGTTTTCTGACATTGAGTTTGACAATATAACTTACAGGCGTTCAAAAAAACACCAAAACAGAAAATTTCGAAAAATTTAAAACAATGCGGTTTTTTCAAAAGAAAAAGATTTCTTTCTAGTTTGAATTTTTTTTCCATCTGAAACAACTATTCACAAAAGGTAGAAATTGTCTTTTCTACATCAGTAGATCAAACTCTATTGAACCATGTGAAAACAAAATAGCCTTACCAAAATTTTGTATTGCAAACACCTGAAACAGTAGATTGATGAAATTCGTAAAAGATTTCGTTAAGTGATAATCAGTATCAGAGAACAAATACATGATAATTAACTGATATTTTTTGTATAATCAGCTTATTAGTCCAATATATTTATGTTTTTCTCCATAAAAAATTTTACTGATTTATTTCGGTTAATTGAAAATTTGTTCTTCTAATTATATTAATAATCTTACAAGGGAAGATATCATAGAAGGTCACGTCATTTGAAACATTAACACCAATATTCAAACATCATACAAATATATTCAATTAGAGATCATTTCTTCTCTGCATATAAATTAATTTTGGTGTAGGCTCAGAACTTATGAAAAAATAACCCTATATAATTCTTTGTATTTTATTCAAAAATAAAATGAAGATCAGGGTTTTCTTGTTTAGATAACATATTACAATGTGTTACAGCCAATGTATTATTCGACAAATGTTCGATTTCAATCGACTTGTGTGATTTAAAACAACATCAAAGCAAAAATCACTTTCAAATATGCCAACAGGCGTGCAACTAGATTGTATCTTTCATTCATTTTGATCCAAAAACACGCAACTTATAAGAAAATACCGCTTTTCTGTTATATTATTGATTGATAACGATACATTAATACATAATTACAACTAGATAATTCAAATTTATTAAGAAAAAAAAACAACAGTCATAAACACTGCAATATTCATCTTATAATAATTATTTCATTTCTCATCAATAACGATATGGGAATCACTGGCATGTCCTATTCATTCTATCAAAAACATCAATCAAAAAGCGGCTATCATGAAAATAATTCTCAGAGGATTTCAAATTGCATATAAGCATAACAACAAAATCTTAACTATTTCATGTTTTCTTGTCTAACAATATAAGATTATTTTTTTTTTTCAAAATTAATTAGCTCAACACAAAAAGAAGCATTTCTTTGATTATATATATGATTATTTTTTCAATACCATGACTAATATTATCGTCTGAGAAAAAAACAGAAAAAAGTTGAACTAATAAAATTAACTTTAATTCACTCTATCATCATTATTTGAAGTAGTAGTTGCAAAATATCTCATTAACCATATTATCTATTTGTTTTTGTAACACTTTATCATTCATTGTCTACAGGCTACTAAATCGATTGATTGAGAAAACTTGTAATCTGTTGAAATTGACCTTTCGTTAGTGTTAGACATATATCTCTAGTGAATTTTATATATATATATGTATATGAATGAAATCGATCCTCTCACGTCTATGACATATTATTCAAATTGAATTTCATATATGTATATATCTTGTGTATATATAAACTCAATGACATACATACGTTTCAATTAGGTATATATATATATATGTATTTAAACCTATGACCTTTCTTTTTGTATTCTATTCATGTAGTTAGTAGCAGTTTTATTAGTCTAAATCTCAATGTCGCCGCCGATAATCGCTTAAGGGAAACAATATATTGTTATTATTAGTGTTCTAGTGCAATCAACAAAACACATGTAGAAGTGAAAGTAAGCTATTGTCTTCAATCGTTCAAATATACTTTAGTATTGAAAGGTGCCGAAAGTGGCTGCCGCCGACATCATCATCGTCATCGGGAAAATGAACAAAAAAAAAACAAAGAAAAGAGAAATGCTTTTGGTTAAGAGCGTGTGCCCTTCGATTACAACTAACACCACCTACTATTAGATATCTGTTTGATGTATGTCGTTTTTTTTTCTACTAATGATCACTGTCCCTCAGACATCTGTTTTATAGACGAACATTTATTCTTCTTTATTATTGCATAAGATTAGCGACAAGAAGCAGATGTGCAAAGACAAAAAGAAACCTATAGAGGCGGAGTAAGCATGTGTTATCATTGAATAAAATGACATTTCGTATCCTGAACTACTACTACTATTCGTCTATACATGTGTTATTTCCTATTCATTCATTCATTCATATGATCGTGCCGTGATAATTGTAATGTTTATATCTAATCAAATATCTATCATCTATTGTTGCTTTTCTTTTTTTTATTTATCAGAATTTCTATTATATGAGAAAATTTCTTTATTAGAAATAAAGAAAAATAAAAGATGGAATAGATCTGTCAATCATCTATAATATGCATGCTTTATATATACTAGGCTAAGATTGAGAGATAAGAATGTAAAGAAACCTTGAGATAAAACAAAAGCTTAATTGTGAATCTGCTCTCTTTCTATCTGAACTAGAATTGATGAACATTTGCAGATGTGTATGCGTGTGTACACGTCATGAACTCTAGAAGATAGAAATAACAAACTAAGCATGAGCGTACGCGTGTCATCACCAACAACACATGATTAAGAAAATGAATTAATTTTCCCGTATATATATATATATATATACAGATATGACCGTAAGTCGAAAAAAAAAGAAAAAATGGAAAGATTTTCAAGTTTTCTCTCATTCACTTCTATTCAACTGAACAAGAGAGAAGGAAATTAATGGATATCAATGCATAATACCTAACAAGTGCACATACACTCTTAAACCCATACAATGAGTAGGTAACACACTTAAGCATATTTCTTAGTCTTAATGGTATCGTTTATAAAAATGGAGTATTTTGTATTCTATATAAGTTTCATATTTTCAACTGTCAACAAACAGGAAATATTTTGTTAATAAAGATTAACAAATTGAAAAAGAATGTGACATACAAACGTGAAATAACACCTAAGTTGCTATCATTTAATAGGATCTCTCACACCTTAATACAATCGTTTTCAATTCAGACAAGTATTTTGACACTTTCATCATTTTTCTATGACTTCATCGTCTTTATTCTTATTCAATTTGAATTTCATCATTGACTTTTATATAGTCTCGTCACTTAAATCTCGATCATTATCATTTGTTTAATAAAGAATAAGACTTCTTTTGAGTATATGTACACATATATAACAATTCTTTCTAATTGTTGTGTGTATGCGACGTTTCGTTTTATTTTTTTTCCAACGACAATCGAAGAACAATTGAAAAATAAATTTTTCTTCGTCTGGACAGTATTAGAAAAAAGAAAAATCATAGGAACATTATAACACAAGAGAATATTCTTCTACATATACATTCGATTATCATAAATGAGTTACATGAACATTTTTTTCTTCTTCTTCATGGGAAATCTACCATTGTAATGATGTTTTGCATATAAATACAGTTTCTCTTTAAATGATTGAATAGACAACATTATTATCATTTTCTCTGCGAATGATTGAAAATCCATTTAGCGCCTGTTTGTATAATTCATTCATTGTATCTTGTTGTCTCTCTCTCTCTCTCTCTCTTTTGTTACACATGAATTCGTCTTTTGCTCTTGTTCTAGATGATATTTTTTTCAATTAGTATCGCTATTTATGAATATATGCATACTACTGTCGGTTAGTTAAAGAGCAAAGTCAAATGAGAGAGTTAATTGTAAGGCAATGAAGAATGACACTCTCTTATTTGTATGTACAATCAATGAAGGATTTGTGCTTCTCTTCTCTCTGATCGTTCACTCGCTCTGCATCAGTGAGAATTTTCTATGTTTTCTTTCTCTCTCTAATCGTTCGTTTATTCGCCATTTTATTATATATCTTAATGTATTGTGTAGCAGAAAAAAAAAAGGCCTCTTATTGTTTTTTTTATTTTACTTAATGACTAATCTCCGGTATTCATTTTTTTATTAAGAAAATTAAATGGAAGAGTTTTGATTAGTTTTATNTCATCACTTTTTTCGACTTGATTTTTATTATTATTCGTCCATTGTGAATTGCAATCAGTTATTAATGTTTCCTGTCTTTGTTGTGTAGATATCAGCAATGACAATTCAATTTCGAGAATGGCCACGTTCTAATTTCTGAATTATGGCAGAAGACCGTAAGATTGCTGGCGCGAATCATTTTCGTTCAAGTGATGAAGTTCTATTTTCCTTGTTGTAACAGAAATTAGTTTTTCATGTTATGTCGATCAATGTCTGTATATGACATGTAAACAAAATGTTTGTTCAAGGGAACATGACTCTATCTGTGAATGACATATACGATAGATGCTAAAATAAGAATAAAGTCTATTGAAGATGGAATTCATCAATTTGAATAAAAGATTTGTGTATGTGAAGTTTTGAAAATCTCCAATAAGTTAACGTTATATGGACAATGAGTTATATGAAGGAGAGAATATTCTTTGTATTATTCTAATGAATAAGTAGTTATATTCATAAACTCATAAAAAAGAAATACAAGTGTGTGTTATTCATTATTTTTATATCACATCTACTGTTTCTTTAAAAAAAACCGCAACACGTCTCTATTACCTTTTTTCGAAAGACATATCCTTTTTTGTTTATAAAGATCGTCATTAATATTAAATTCATCTCGTAATCCTTTAAAATCATTTTATTTTATTTTTTTCAAATATCTATTCGTATTATTTTAATTTAATAGGTTTATTTAATTTTACTCCATCACTTGAAGATTTAAATATGGATCGTAATCCGTTACTTTCATTATCAATTGATACATTTTCTGGTATAGAATCTTCTCTACATAATATAAGTTGTCAATCATGTTCTTTAACATCTGAATCTTTAATCGCATTTTTATGTTTAAAAAATCTTGAACGTTTAAAACTTCAATCAAATTTATTAACAAATATTTATCCAGAAAATCTTTTTTCGTCAATGTTAAAATTACGTGTTATTGATTTGCAACGTAATCAATTAATACAAATATCATCTGAATTTCCTTCATCATTACGTGAATTAGTATTAAGTAATAATCGTTTAACTATTTTACCACTTAATAATCAAACACTTCAACAATTATCTCAACTTATTACGGTTGATCTTAGTTCAAATCCATTACAATGTGATTGTTATATAAAGCCATTATATTATTGGTTATTAAGACATTTTCAATCTGAACTAGTTCCATATGTACAATGGATATGTTCAAAACCAGAACATCTTGTTGGAAAAAAATTAGGTTCTTTAATAGAAGATCAATTAATTTGTCAAGAGAAACAGTAAATAAAAGAATAAATTAAATTTTCTATTTTGTTTTGTTTCGTTAAATAAATTTATTGTTCTAGGATATCATCATTTAGTGTTTTATTAAAAGATTCAGAATCAGTTATTATTGAATGGTCAATAACGTCTTTATCATTACCTTTAAAGTTAATTGTTACGGAAAATAATAATCCATTACCAATAATTTATTTAAATAAAACACAAAATTATTATCTTCTTGAAAGTTTAAAATCATCAACTAATTATTCCATATGTTTGCAAACAAGTGAACAATATTTATGTCGAAATATAACAACAAAAACTCAACAATATATTTCTTTATCATCATCATCATCATCAGTTACTATTAGTATTGAATATTTAATTATTGGTATAACAATAGGTATTATTATTATTTTACTTATTCTTTTTATTCTAATACTATTTTTAATCAAACAACGTAAAAAATATCCTCACTCATTAAAATCAACAACAATTGATTCATATTATCAAACAACTGGTTCCGATACAACACAAATTGCTACTTGTAATAATTCAATAGAAGAACATTCAATAAAAAGTCTTAAACATCATCAATCGCCACCAATATTTTGTTATTGTCAATTACCATCAAATTATTACCAGGATCAACAATCTTATCATATATATCATGAAATTCCACTTTATAAACCTCCTGTTATTATTTAATTTTGGTTGAGAACAGTTTTTTTTTCTTGTTTTATTACTAGTCAGATATTTTTTCTTTTGTGAATATTATTCAATTGTGTAAGCGTAAAATCGTTTGTAATCATAAATTAAGTACTATTGAACATAAAAATTAACATAAAGAAGTTCAAATAAGTTTTGATTTCTTCAAACAATATTCGTTTCTCACAATGTGGCATACTAATAAAGGATGTTATATTCATAATATATATACTAGTCGTTCAAATCTGTTCTATGTTGAAATTTTGACTTTTGAAGTACTATTGTCAAAGAAATATAAGTGACGTCAAACTCATCAAGTTTCTCGATCTTTTCAATGTAGTTTTTCGTATTTTATTAGTGATGTTTAAATCAAAGGTATTGATTAGAGAATGTTTTATAAAATGAATTAGTTAAAAACATAATCGTGCATCAATATTTATGCATTTGCTTTCCATCTTGATTGATAATTTGCTATAATGAATTGAAATAGTGATGCTCATGCTTGTCGTTATTCTACTCTCAGTTATAGAGATTTCGATCCAATGAATTTTTGATCAGGGCTTAAATTAACCTCATTAACCGTATAAAAAGCCTTATTTCTTTAATTAGTTACTACATTGTAGTGCTGAGCAGAACGCCGTAACTATAGATCTAAATTCATACTACTGAGCATTATCTCTTTCTGATGAGCACTACGTCATCTTGATAACAGACCTTTAGAACTATAGTTTAGTCTAAATGTACACTGCTATGCATTAAGGACTGTAGGAACGAACTCAAGAAATAAGACTTTTTATAGCGATTCATGAGATCAATTTTAGCTTGGGTCGAAAGCTACAAAGTACTTTTGGCTCGAACTGAAAATTTCTTGGACTGAAATTCCTGTCTCTCTACCCTACAGGGTAGGGTAGGATAAGGGTTAGAAAATTTTTCTTAGTCATGATACAGAGTATAAAAAACAAACTTGTCCTGCATATTCATCAATAGAAATTCTTTCATACCTTGCGAAGAATTAAACATGTTGTTAGTGTAGATGATGTAAACTAACCTGTGACATTTTATGACTGTAATTGGTTTAGTTTCATTTATTTGAAATAACCAGAATTTGATGTCTTGATTCAGAAAAATTGAAGTGACATATCAAATCAATTAATCGCTTTGAGAACCATTTTGCTTTCGTCACGATTCATTGATGCATTCAGTTGTCTCTAAAGGTTACAATTACTAAAGAAAAAAAGATCGCATGATTTTTTTCTGTTTATAACGACGTGGAGGAGCAACAACAGTGCAAGAGAATTTGCAGAAACGTAGAAGTTAGTCGCAGTGAATAGGCGTAGGGTGTGCATGTGAAGGTGTCATTGTGGATGAAAGCAAAGGTATCGGTGTGCATGTATATTGATGTTTGTCTTCACTATTCAAACAATTACACTCATACTCACACATTTACAAGTGAATTCATATCTATTCATTGACACGCTTACATACCGCACCAGTAAACCGACACTCGACAGCAGTATATTCGCTTTGCACTCCGATACTCTCAGACCCAAAATCGTATACCGCATCGCCACATTCACGCCAGGAAGCACACTCAATTACGTGAACGATGTAGACTCCTGTTCATAACGAAATGTAATTACTTAGTCTTTTTACATGAGTTTATGCATAAATAAGAACAAAAGATAATATTTGACGAATTATCATTTGAATTTGTGTCACTATTTTGAATCATTATATCATAGATTCACATTTCAGAATTGGGCTAATATGTAATTCAGTGTACTAGAAACCTATGATTCAAATCATACTTCAGCATTCTTCAATATGTGACACACAATGAACAATATAACATGTTGAGAGAATGATTCAATCTCCATGCAAAATGACAAAAAATTTTTAGTCATATAAACTTTAATAACATTTTAGGATTGAGAAAAAAATTATCAAATAAAAGTTGTCTAAACCAAAAACCAGATTAGCAACTGCCTTGTATATCTTTTCCCTATCAGTTTCTTCTATTGTACGCTTCCAATCTAAGCAATGATTCGACAAATAATGACACTTTACTTATTAAACAAAAATTATGAATGCTAGAAAAAAATTTGCACTTTTTGATGTTTGTTTTAGAGTTTTCTTCTTTCTTTACATGAAATGATTTCTAAATATTGAAATAAGTCGCGTCTAATTTTATTATCTGCTAAAATTTGTTTGTCTACTTCATACATTCTGAATAGTAATATACCTTTCTAGGTAGAAATTCAAATCACAATTGCTGATAGTATTTGAATTATTTCTCTGATGTTTATCGTCTATTTGTTGAACTTAGAGTATGCATGATACTTGTTGTTGAAACAGCTGTATTTTACTTGCTTAACTAATCCATGAATAAAGAAATGTTTATAAACAAAAACAAAAAGTTGATATTAATCAATTGTCACAGGCCGAAGATAAAACCAGAGCATAAAGAGAAAAAAGCAACTTAAGAGGGAGAACAAATCAATAGAAGAAAATATCCCCGATCAATGTCGCTAGGTCAGTTCTCGTCGGACGGGCTTCAAAAGTCGATGGGCTTTGACGATTGGAGCTGATCGAATGTTTTCTACTGTACTCCAGTTATTTGTAGCGGTTTCCTCTTATGTTCGCTTATCTGTTTAACTGAGTTCCCATCTGACTTATATTGTCAGAAACGATAAAATTCGACAGATAGAATCTGTCAGATCCTGAACAATGCAAGTCTATGTGATATCAGAAAAATCGTCGGAATCTGCAATATTAAATGACATTTGAAACAATATTTTACGGTAAAACTCTTTCAATTCCTAGCATCACAACATATCGGTTTATAGAAGAATCAAGTAGTTCCAGTATAATCGGATTCGATTGTTTTAGACGACCTAGATTCGGTGAAAGTCACTTATATTTGGTTATCGGATCCAAATGGTAAATTCTGTAGCTTATTAACCGTCGATTGTTGATGTTTGATTCTTTTGTTTATAGCACATACTTGAATTCTTAATTCATTCGACTAGATTTAGTCAAACGAGATCAATCCGAACTAATGACATGATAATATCACTATCAGACGTCATAATGATAAATCTCGTAAGTAATCAAACCCTGTTTTTGACATTTTATTGATCATTTACTGTCACTGTTCTACTACTTATAATGAGCCTACACCAATTATTCACTAGATTCTTAAGTACAAACATTCAACTCTATGTTTTGTATATCTACCTTACTCTACGTTTATAGATGACTTGCCGACGATATATTTTCTAGTACGACTCTCATAAGTCACTTTCATTTTTTTTTTCAATGAAATTATGAGTATGTGAAGAGTGACGCCTAATTCATAGCATTAGACTTTATATTGATATACCCAACCGACATACTAAAAAATTAGAAATATCTCCCCAAGTGAAAATCAATTCATCTTTAAACTTTGAGATAATAGGTAACACTGAATACCTATCAAAAACTATAGCTATATGTATATCTCTACTCAAAAGATGCGAAAAATCAGATCACTCTAGGATATTGAATAAATCAGTAAGATTTGGCGATTGAACGGTTGGCAAAGCTCTCTCGCTAATTACACTAGGCATATTTCGATTTGCAATAAGCTTCAAATTGATTGGATCATTTTATCAAACCTCCAAAAAAGTATACATTTAAATATGACGTAAGTCAAAGTTTATTCTTCTTTACTGTATTCACTTTTAGAGGAAGCAGATGCAAACCTTGATAAACCACAACTTTGACGCAATGCATGACCATTAAAACATGAATATTTAATTAACACGAATTTTATGTATTTAGGTGCGAAAATGAAATAAATATATGCATCATCAATTAACCAAGGACTACAAGATTTAACCAACGTCGTTAATGCGCTATCACCGCGAAAACATCATCTATCATTCTGTTTAATCCTTGAAAAATTCTTGCTCTTTCACAAAACTCATGCTAGTTATATATTTTAGATATTGCTCACGCAATACTCGAGTAATTCTAAATCATAAGAAACCGTTTGGTGAAGCACTGAAAACCATCGTATTCGACAGAGCCGACCACCAAAATCATAATCAACCTTTTATTCCCCTGCTGCCCATAGCGGGTTTCAGAAGAGCCACTGATAAAATAACTGTCTCAATAGAATATTATTCTGTCTAAAATGCCAATTATGTGATCTGATCTATTGAGTGTCGACATCCTTTTGTAGAACCGTTTGATGGATCCAATTACCGTATGGTAGAGGAAGGGGATTCAACGACATATTAAGCCTTTATTGTTTTTTCTTTGACCATATTATTAAGTGGACAAAAGCATCATGAATCTTATGTTATTGTAATCATAGAAAAATCCACAAATAATATATATGTTTTTGACAAATCTTGTTAAATAAACATGTACTTTGCTTTGAGCGATTTTATCACCTCTGAAGATATTTAATTCATAATAAATACTATTTCAACTTGTCATGAATAGAAATCTATAATATATATGTTAGCTTTGTTCTTGATTACCCATTGATGGTTACATGGTCAATCGTATGTGTAAATTCGTCGAGAAGTTGTCGAAATATATAGCTAACTCATTTGTGAGCTTCTTTATCGATTTATGTCATACAAACATGCCGAAAAATCTCTATTGAGTGTAAGTAGAGAATATTTTGTTTCGAAAAATTCGATTTTCTAGGTCCAATATTTTAAGAGCGGAACAATAAAAAAGAAATTTTTTTTTACCAATTAATAACCCATAAACTTCACTATAAAAAATGTTCTTACCTTTAATCAAATCTCATGCTTCTTTTATTTTCTACAATCGTTCCACAAACAGTTACTCTAATGACCAACGGATAGTAAAAGGTTCATATGAGAAAAACAAAGTTCAAATGTATTATTAGTATTTTTTACAATAAAATACAAGTTTGTGATTTATTATTGTCAAATTTTACATATTGTTTATGTACATTTAATTCTTGTTGAGACAATTTT